ACCACCTGTACTTCCATTACCACCAACTTCCTCCTCCTCCTCCTCCTCCTCGTCCTCCTCCTCCTGCTTCTTCTTCTTCTCCTCCTCCTCCTCCTCCTTTTGAGGCAGGGTCTCATTTTATAGCCATTGGTGATCTGAAACTCACTATGTGGAGCAGGCTGGCCTCAAACTCACAGAGATCCTCCTGCCTCTGCCTCCCAAATGCTGGGATTAAAGGTTGTGTACCACCATGCCTGGCCTTGTATCAACTTCTTAAGATCTCATTTCCCCATTTCAAGACTGGCTTCTTTTTTTCCCCTCCGATTCACAGGGGGCTAGCTACCTAATTTTCAGGGCTGAATTCAAAGATGAAATTGCAGTCTTGCCCACCTACTTAGTCACTCTTTTTTTTTTTTGTTTTGTTTTTGTTTTTGTTTTGTTTTACGAGACAGGGTTTCTCTGGTTTGGAGGCTGTCGGTCCAGCCTGGCCTTGAACTCACAGAGATCCGCCTGCCTCTGCCTCCCGAGTGCAGGGATTAAAGGCGTGCGCCACCAACGCCCGGCCTACTTAGTCACTCTTAAAGGTGACCTCTGAACACCTGGTCAAGAGGGAAAGGAGTCTGGTGAGCCAACTGGCTGTGGCTCCCGATGTCACTGGTGTGGCTGCCAAGGCCGCTCAGGTCAGTGAGTACTTCCTGTATCCTGGAGCAGGGGCATTTGACTGATCTAGGGTCTGTGTGGTGCCCTCATAAACCTATTCCTAGGTCTTCTTCCATGTGATTTGCTACAAATGCCGAGGGATTGCAGTTGAGAGCATTATGGCTGAGGTGTTGCCCACTATTTTAACATTCTCTTTGAAGAATTTCATTAGTAGAATCCACTTGGTCCATCACAGTCTTCCCTGATGGCTTTCTCCAACATTGACTTTTGGGGAGAATCTGGGACCAGGTGTTTTCCCTCAGGAAGTTCCTAGAGTCTGTAGTTCATTTTGGTTTATCATCGTGAATATTCCTTAGTAAGAGGGAGCCAGCCTCATCCTCTCAAAGTGTGGCTGCCTCTGGGTCACGTTGGTGAAATTCTCTAAATGGCCTCATAGGGGATTTGCACCACTTGCTCCAAGGAATTTCTGACTTTCTCTTAAGGGCTTCAGTGAAGATTGGAAGCTTGGTAGCATCAGGGACATTTAGACTCTATTTACTGCGGCCTGTCCTTAGCTGTGGATAATAGAACATAATACCATAGGCTGGGAGGCCCAGAGACAACAGAAATATGATTCTCACTGTTTGAAAGGCTAGAAATTTGAAATCAGGGTAAGTTCCCCTCATGAGTACACAGCAAGGAGCAACAGCCTGCACCTAGGGAGGCCTCAGCTGAACTAGCTGTAGTCTATTATCTTCTCGCTGTGACTGTGAGGGCAAGGGCAAGGGCAAGGGCCTGCTTTATATGAGCCTGATTAGACTCATGAGAATGACCTTCCCAAAGCCACACTTAGTACTACCCTCTCTCTCTCCCTCTCTCCCTCTCTCCCTCTCTCTCTCTCCCTCCCTACCCCCCTCTCTTTCTCTCTCTCCCTCCCTCCCTCCCTCTCTCTCTCTCTGTTTCTTTCTTTCTGTCCGTCCCTCCCAGCTGTTTTTCTTTTTCCTTTGCAGTACTGGTGTTGAGTCCCAGGCTTCCTGAATATTAGCACTTAGTGTTCTACCCGGAGTTGTGTCCCCATCATATTTTTTTTCTTTCTGCCTTTGAGCCTTTTATCTTGCTGGAGCGTGTGTGTGTGTGTGTGTGTGTGTGTGTGTGTGTGTGTGTGTGTGTAACTGTGCATATGTCATAGAACCCATGTGGAGGAGTCTCCTTTCACCTTGGGGACCTCAGGGATTGGACTAAGGTGGTCAGTCTTGAGAGCAAGCATCCTTGCTCAATGAGTCATCTTGCTAGTCCTCTGCCTCAACCCTTTAGTATCTGAGAGTACAGACCTGTTCTACCACATCTGTCAAGAGACTGAGAATTTCAACATAGAAATCCCAAATGTTCATATGATAGCACATAAAAAAGATTTATTTTGGGGGGCAAAAATTCAAATTAATTGCTAACATTTATACTGAGGGATTTCATAAAGAAATCCCATTAGAGCCTCTTTGGGGGAAGATTCTATGTTTCTGGTAGTGGCAAGGCTTCCATTCCCAGGGGCTGCCTTTGCCTGGGGTGGGAAAGCAGGTTCCTTTCTTGGGAGTACCTCTATTCCCACTCACTCCTCTGCCCTCGCTTGTCTGTCTGCTGCTGCTCATGCCATGCATGCAGTTGTTAAATATTTTGAATATCACTCCTGCCGAGAGCCAGTGAGTTGGTAACCCTGCTCTTCAGAGAGGCAGCCGTCAGCCTCTTCCTCAAAAACAAATTTAAATTGTGACTCCAGGGTCATTCCGTTCCACTGATTAATCTGTTAGATTGTCAGAATTCGCCACCAATTCATTTACCTGGAGCAAGCTTTCCAGATCCAGTCTAGGAGGAATTCAGAAAGGCTGGCTCAGTGTGCGAGTGGAGTGCGTACCCTGGGGACAGCCATCCTGATGAAATGAAGAGCCAGGTAGGGAGAGCTCAGTCCGGCAGAGAGAAAAATTATGATGTCTGATTTCTCTGTGCACCCTGACTCCGGGTCTCCTCACAAGATCACCTCTGCCCCGAGGAAGCAACTCTTGGGCACTCTCCTGTTAGCACTGAACACAAAGGGATCGGGACTCATTCTACCTTCGTTGCTCAAGGCATCACACCCATGTCCTGACCTGCACACGGTGATTACCACTGCCTTTGGCTGGCAGAACCCGGCAAACGCTGAGTCGCTTGCCTGGAGGAGACGCGTGGGTTTCTATGGCGGATAGGGGTCTTATTTAGTGCCCTTCCCCTCCTTCCGCATCCTGAACCTGTTACGAGCGGATACAAGGAGTGAACTGGGCTAAATATGGAAAGAGAGAATGTGGCAGGAGGGTTATCTTGGCTGTCATGTTCTTAAAATATTTTGGTGTAGACAGCGTGCATATGTGTGAAGTTAAATTTAACGCATACCTTAGGTGTTCGCTAACATTTCACGCGTTCCTGCCTGTTTGCTTATTGCTGTATAACACCGCCCTCAAGTTTAGTGGCTTGGGATGCAGTCCATGAAGATTGGTCATGGATCTGTGGGGCAACTGGCCAAGTTGGACAAGTCTCACTGGGAGTATTGTGTGTTGTTGCAGCCGGGGCTGGAAGCCTCAGATGCTTCCTTCCTTAGGGCCTGGCACTTAAGATGGATTCCTTCTCCCGTGGCTGGCACCTAAGCTGGGTTGGCTGGCACAGTGGGGGATGGGCCAGGCATATCTCTCTTCATTTGGTCTCTTCACATTTGGCTGCCTTGTGGCTGCTTTACAGCATGGCCATCTCAGGGGAGCCAGCACCCTGAGAACATTCTAGGAGAGTCGTGCTAAATAAAGCCTTGTAGTTCACAAAACCCCACACTTCCTGTTGCCTCCCCATTGCTGTAATGATTAATTTAATGTACTTGTGTGGCCAGACCACGGTAATCAGATATTTGGTCAAAAGTTATTTTAGATGAAGGTATTTCTTTAAAAAGAGGAGATTAACACTTTAACCACTTTGAATTCAGTAGGTGGTCCTTCCAATGCAGATGGGCCCCATCTAGTTAGCTGAAGGGTTCTTGATGCCCTATAAAAGGGGATTCTGCTAGACAGTTGCTTTTGGGTTTCATTTGCAGCATCCCCTGCACCCCGAGTCTCAAGCTTGCTAGACTGTCCCGTGACTTTTAGATTTGTCACCCTCCTCATGTGCATGAGCCAAGTCCTTAAAATCAAATCTCAGTCTCCCACCCCATCTTCCTCTCTTTCTCATCACTCTGTTTTACTGGAGAACCATCATGCACGGGCCTTCAGCAATAAAATCCCATGCTTTCTAGTTCAGCACATTCTCACCTGGTCCCTCTTGAGTGTTCAAGACTAGCAGGATAGCACATGCTCTATGCCTGGGGAGTCCTTTAGCATCATGTCCTGCATTTTCTAAAGGGAGCTTACTATCCCAACCATAGGGGACTGAGTGTAAGGATATGGCATCGAAGTTTCTTGCTGGTGATCCCAAGGACAAGAAAGCAAGACAGTCTTGAGTGCTATCTGGTTATTTTGAGTTCACCTGCTCTGAGAAGTGATTGCATAAACAGAGAAGCAACCCTGAGCCATGAGGCTCCAACCCACCTCTAATTACTGGCTTTTACCACTAGTGCTTTCCTGCCCCAAACTAGAGAAAGCCGAGTGGCCCATGGGCTCAGGTGAGTTTACAGCATGGGCATTTCTCTCCCTTTCTGCATGTGTCTTTGGGATTCATTTGACTTTGAGCTCCAGAAAAACCAGGACATGGAAATGAGAACCTGGACAGGCTGGTCAGCAACTGGCCCCAAGTTAGTAGAAAGGGTGAGTGGCCCATGCAACCATTGTGTTTGGCAAGACTTCTGTTTCCATGTTCGGTGTCTTGGTGGCCCATTGGATGTTGACTGGTCCTTTCTCACTACTGTTCCTTCTAAGTGGAGAGGGGTGGTGGTTATAAGGAAGTTATTTACTGCTCTCTCCTTTTGGGGAATGGAGACTTCCTGTGGATCTATAACAGAAAGAAACACTCCAGTGAGGTGGACCACTTGTGCTGCTAATCTCAGTCACAACTGCATAGATGATAACAAAGCCATGTGTCTTAGTTAGGGTTATTGCTGTGGTAAAATACCATGACCAAAAGCAACTTGGTGTAGCAAATGGTTTATTTTTCATCTCAAAACTCTCAGGACACAGCTCACCACTGAGGGAAATCAGGTCAGGAACTCAAGGCTGGAGGTGAGGCAGAAGTCATGAAGAAGCACTACTGACTGGCTTGCTCCTCATGAGTTGCTCAGTCTGCTTTCCAAAGCACCAAGGACCACCTGACAAGGGTAGCACCACCCACAATGGGCTGGGCCCTCCAACATCAGTCACCGATTAAGAAAATACTACACATGCTTGCTTTGGCAGCACATATAATAAAATTGGAACAATACAGAGAAGATTAGCAAGGTCCCTGTGCAAGGATGACATGCAAATTCATGAAGCATTCCTTATTTTTTTAAAGAAAAAAAAAAGAAAATACTCTACATGATTGCCTACAGGCCAATCTTATGGAAGTATTATCTTAAATGTAGTTCCTTCTTTTCACATAACTTTAGCTTGTGTTGAGTTGACAAAACAAAACAACAAAACAAAGCAGACACAAAGCAGCAAATGGAATACCCTATGTTAGATGATTGGTACCCATGCATCACCAATATTGAAGTTATTTCAGCGATGCCCTCCTAAGCTGCTGTTGACTAGAACACTTTCTTTGCCCCATATGCCTTAGTTATTTCCCCATAGGGATGTGAGACTCATGTAATATTCTGTATGGTTGGTCCATTCTTGAGCTGCTTAGACATCAGGACTGTGAGCCCAGTCAGCACTAAATACACATTTGGTAAATACATGAACAATAAGTGGCCAGGAAAGATAGTGGTCAGTTCTGGTAGGAATGGTACAAAGGTTCCAGGACCCAGTTTTACCAACTTGGGTAACAAACACAGAGGCAAGCTATGTTTAAATGAAATTTGATGTATGGACTTTTAGAGCTGATTTTTCGATTTTATTTTTTCTTGAGTTCTCATGATCAGAGTGCGTGTTTGCTGTTCGCCCACTCACCTGTGTTACATTACAACTGTTTCCTTTACTGTGCCCTGTGCTCTGGGAGACTGGTCCTTTTAAACCCTATGGCTGGGTTCTCTCATCTTCTGGCTTCTGGTTTGTTAGCCTATGGGGAGAGCTCTTTTTCTGAAAAAACTCAGAGCATACATCTCTACAGTGCCTCTTGCTGACAAACCTGTTTGATGGGACACCCTCTGCTGCAGAGTTTGTGTTCTCACATCTACCTTTTTCTTCTCCGTAGCCCTTAACTCTCTAAACACTGTCTTAATTTTCCTCCTCACTCCCACTTTCTACACTCTCTCCCAACATTTGTTCATCATTTCCACATCAAACACTCCTTAACTCCTAATCTGAGGGTTTCCTCTAGTTCCTGCCTGGACTCAGGCTCATGGTTCAGGTTAGTGGTTTAAGACAGGGATTCATTTTGTCCCCCAGCAGGCATTTGGCAAAATCTGGAGACGTGGTTGATTGTCACAAGTAGGGATGGGTTGTGGTGTGTGCTGTGGGCATCTAGTGACCAGAAGCCAGTGATGCTGCTGGCTATCCCATCATGCACTGGGCATTCTCCACAGCAGATAGTTATCCAGTCCCAAATGTTAATAGTGCTGCGCCTGAGAAATCCTACTTTAGATGTTAGTGCTCATGTCCCCTATACAACTGTAATATCAGCACAAATTTGTAAGCTTCGTATAAACAAAGCAGTGAACCCACTGAAAAGCAAACTTGTAATGTTAATTGAAAAGTCAAAATGAGGTTATTTCACTGAAATCAAATGGATACTCACAATGAGGATGTGGGGCTGACTATTGTGGGATGAGTTGTTGCTTGGTTTGTTATGACTGGAATCTATAACCTGGAATGGGACTCATTTATCTTTGAATGCCTGTCTAAACCTTGTCTTGGGGTACTTTGCAGGACCATGTTGGCTTTTATTTGGCCCCCATATGATACTCATCTGATTATGACCATTATTATTGGTTCTCATTAACCTGTGTCAATTGAAGTGATGTTAATTGGTGCCAATATGTTCATAAATGTGGCCACAAAGGAGGGCCCTATGGCATTTCTCAGCCTTCAGTCTCATTGGAAATGTTGTTAAAGACTTCAATAAATTAAGAGAGGATATTAAAATTGAATGTTTATGTGAACTCCTGAGCCCTGGGCCCATCCTGGGATCCCTGTGAGAGGAATGTTGCTGGTGTTGGGTGGAAAATAGAAATGATCCTTGCTTCCTTCCCAGGGTCCATGTTCTGATGATGAACAATAGAGACATTTTTATTTTAAAAAATGCATCATTATAAAGAATGTCTTCTGTTTTGCTCTTTTTGAGATAGGGTATCTCTATCTCTACATGTCCCTAGTTGGCCTAGAACTTGATTTGTAGACCTGGCTGGCCTCGAACTCACAGAGATCCACCTGCCTCTGTCTCCTTAGTGCTGGGGTTAAAGGTGTGTGCCACCACATTCAAGAAAGTCATTCTAATAAAATCTTTATCCCCAGGTGGTATAGAGTGGGTAGTTTTCCACCCATACTTCAGTCAACATGTTTTGTTTTCTCAGCTATGGCTCTGCAAATAGCCTCTAGATAGCAATGTGGGGTTCCTTTCTCTTTGTGAAAGACATTTGTTAGGCTTCTCCCTTCTCCCCCTGGCTGGGGAGTGTCTGAGCTTCAGGAAGCTTGAGATTTTTCACTGTGCTGCAAAGGGCTGTCTTCTACTTCTCTCCCGCCCGCCACCGTATCTCACAACACATCCGATTGATCGGACCAACTACAACATCTTATGTCGCTCTTTATTTCATTCTTGTATTAGCACCTTTTGCAAATCTAAAACAATTATGAAACCATTTAGAAACAATAACGCTGAAATGCAAATACTTCAGTGTTATTAAACTGCTAGCATCTTGGTGAATTATTTCCTACGGTTAATTACTTCATTTCTTTATAGCCAGCCACGATGGACTGCCACTTAGACTTGCTTTCTGTTCTGTCAGACACTATAGTTACACGTTTGAAATCTCTTTGGACACTCATCACTGCTTTCTACATTATCTCAAAGTGTTTTTTGGTTTTGGTGTCCATGTTGGTGGGGAGTGTTTCAATTTAATTTGGAGTTTATTTTTAAGTAAATATTTGGCCATGATGATTTTGATGAAAAGCTCTTCAGTGGCTTAATGAAGGATTTTTATGGATCTATATAACACCCATGTCTTAATTACTACAAATGGATAATAAACCCCTTCATATACGAGAATGGGTAACACAGTGAGCACCATTAGGAACGATTGGATTTTCACTTGATAATTCTGTAAAAAAATGTAAATACTGCAAATAATAGCCCAAGTGTCTCTATAGCTCCAGGAGAAACCATTGAGTAGAACTAATTTTTACAGAGATGTGACTCCATGTTTTTTGAGCTGTGACAAAAGCAAAATATAAATTCATGCAGCGAATGAAATAGTCATCAATTTGGTGGGTGCTAATTAATTTCTCTCTGTGTGCTGGAGACACTTAATCCCACATCACCAGAAGCCCTTGAGTTGAGGACAGTGCCCAGAGAGGAATGTGTGATGAGAGGCAGTTACCTACACTGTACCAGTGGGAATGCAGAGGGCTATTTATTTATGAGACAGGGTCTCACTATGTAGCTCTGCCTGTCCTGGAACTCTCGACATAGACCAGGCTGGCCTCAGACTGTCAGGGATCTGCTTGATTCTGCCTCTTGAGTGATGGGGTTAAAGGACTGTGATGCCTGGATTTTGCACTTAATAAATTATGCTTTTAGCATCATTTTAAAGTGCACTTCTATTTTTAGAAAGTTGACTGAAAAAAGGCACATTGTGCAACTGCAGCAATAGACAGGACACCTCACATCTCTTACTTGCACCAAAGGCCATATCCTGTGACTGCCATGTACCACTCAGGTTTATGTCCCTGCACTCTGTGACATTTGGGCCATGACTGAGCCACCTTGTATGTGCCTCTCAGCAGGTCTATGTTGTTAATACCCACAACTGCATTTTACTTTTAGTAATTTCCTGTGCAGAGGGTTTTGAACTAGCACGTATCCAAGATCCTCTTGTGAGACGAGGTAAAATGTACCAATGCTTGGAGGCTTCACTCCGAGATCTTGATGCCACAGGTTTGGGTAGAGTTCCCATTTATGGTGCTGACATGTACTCCATGCCTGGACCTGCTGCCAAGACATTGGTTTCTTCAAGCAGGTAAAATGTTCAATCTTCCTGAAATTGTTCTTTTTCTATTCTTTTGTTTTGTAGCTGCATGAGAGAAATTTTGGAATGGGAATGTGGGTTCAGTGGTGGAATACTTACCTAGCATATGCAAAGCCCTGAGTTCAATCCCCAGATAGAAAAAAACCTTAGCTCATAATTATATGGGCCAACATTTCAGTATGTGTTCCCCTCTTGGCTTTCGAAAGTGTTCAGGGTCTTGTTTTTGTGTGTGTTTATGTTTGTATATTTGTGTAGTTATGTGTGCACATGTGATTCCTTGCATGTGGAGCCAACAGTCAATACCTGATGTCTTTCTCAGTCATTCTCTATCTTATTTTTGATAAAATGTGTCTCACTGAAGGAGCACCCTGACTCAGTGAGTTTGGCTGTTGAGAAAACTCTGGCTTCTAGCTCAGACATGCTGGGGTGACAGGCCTGCCACCACTCCTGGATGTTCATGTGAATTCTTGGGACTGTTTGGGGCAGTATATAATAGTATTCTTATAATCCTCTGAGAAACTGAAAGAGAACTTTTCACCAAAGGATATTAAAGGATATTCACACCCTGACTCTGGTATGAATTAGGGTGAAGTACTAAAGCTCTAGAACCAAAGTGTGATGACTGCCCCTCCTCCCCGTCCTCCACAGCACCAGTAATGCAGTTTATTGGCTTTTATAATAAGGTGTTTGAGCTGTACTTGTGGTGCACGCTTGCAGTTCAGCACATGGAAAGCAAAGGCGGGAGGCCATCACAAATTCAAGGCCTGTCCAGTCTACACAGTGAGTTCCAGCTTAGTTAGGGCTATACGCATACATACACACACACACACACACACACACACACACACACACACACACACTAAAATCACCATGTCCACCACCACCACCTCCACCATCATCATCACCACCACCACCATCACCACTAAATCTTAGGTCTGTTTTCCCGTTGGTACTTGGTTGAGGCTGTGTGGTTAAACTGGGGTTTACCTCTTTGACACGAAGCATTGTCTTTCTGCCCCTTTCTACAGCTCCCATTAACATACCTGGTGATCTACAATGGCAAATTTATTTTCTAATGAGCTGGAATCAGAACCTGTGACATGTTTCCAGAACTCAAGACTTCCTGAGTTCACACAATTCTTTTGTTTTGCTTATCTAGTCA